CAACATAAAATCAATAGAGCGTTCTGGCCACCTCTACTTTCTGTTACAACAGTACATTATTATGTATGTATTTCACATTGTAAAATCCCTGCTCAGTCTTACAACAATGAAATAGTTTGTTCTGGGCAAAGTCCAGGTGTGCAGGAAACGCTGGTAATTTAAAGCTGCTGGGAAGGAATGAAGATAAAAAACTCCCCTCTTGGTGACTCCTTCCTCATCCTCTGCCGCAGTGCCCTTTACCTGTCATCACTTTTATACGTTGGTTTGTTGTTACACACAGGTAAGATAAAACTGATACAGTAGTAGTTTTTACCATGGAAAATTCTGATGTCAGGGTTTTAGTAACAACTTTCCCATTCCTCTCTGATCACACAAATCACTGCTGGAAAAGGCCCTGCCTAAATCTGTAAGATTTTCTGTAAGTGTTTTTGTCTTATTTGCATGAAGTTAGATTGATCCAATGTCACACAGAGTAAGCTTTTACTAGAAGAAAAAGTCTCTCTTTAGTAGTTCCAGCTCTTTCTTGATTTGCGCTGGAAAGGAAACGGAATATGCATTTGTACCAGCATTTTTTCCAGCACAGCTCCTTGAAACTTAAATGGAAATTCCAGGAATGCTCAAGTTTTTGAAACATAGCCAGCTTTGAACAAGGTATTTTGGGGCTCCTTTTTTAGAGCAGACCACAGACGGTAGCAGAATAGCTGTGCTCTGCAAAGTCACGAAGCAGCTGGTTTGGGCCTGTGCTTTGTAAGCAGCTCTAGCACAGGCCTGTGGAGCGCTGTGTCCTCTGGGCACTCTGATCTTTTTTTTTCCCCTTTTTTCTGTTTCATTTACTAGAGAAAATAAGAGAGTGGAGATAGGAGTACATAAAAAAATCAAAACACCATTATTGCTGCCATTTGGGTGCTAGTCCAATATAGCAGCTAGGCCAAAACACCAAGTGTGTTCTGAAAGGTTTCCTCCAAGGGCTTTACTAAGCCTGGTGAAAAGGAGCTCTCTTACTGGTTAAAGCCTCCAAGACTCACGAAGAACAGTACCCTGGCAGAGCTGTTGGACAACAGGAGCAAGCAGGTATCTCAGTTTGTCTGTGCAGCACAAATAACTGGCAATCCTTACAGTAATTGTAAAAAACAACCAACCAACCAACACTGCTGTGGATCTGCGTTTCCTTCCAGCTCATTTCCAGGATATTCTGTAGCCTCAAAGTCTAACTTCTGTTATCTGAGAAGTATTTTGAGATAGGATCTTCTTGGTGCAATACCTGTTATAAACTTGTGGGCTTGAGTTTGGTTTTATCTTTTGTTTTGAAGGGTGGTATAAAATCTTGCTCAGCTTCCCCATCTTACCTCTCTAAAATATCATTGCTTATTTGACCTTCAGAGTACTTTCTGTTTTACAGCACATTTTGAGTCATCTCCTCTGTTTACTACAGTAAAAGCCAGGCCCTCTGTCCTGCCTTTGAACAGCCTGTGAGACCTGCACCTGAAAACTAATCGACTTCCAACAACTTCCATGCAAAGCAGATGCCCTGGACTTCCCTTTTCATGTATTCTTTGTGAAGTGGCTCTGCTAACAGGAGTCCAGAAGTCAGTGTTCTCACAGCATAGGCTAAATTCCTCCATTTATTTTCCAAGAAAATTGCCTAAGTGTCTCTGTGTCTTTGATGCAGGGAGGGTGAACCACACAGCCCTTCACCAGCGGCAGCTGTCACTGCAAGGAGAGGCTGGGAGAGCTGGGGTAGGCCTGTGTGGAGAAGGCTTGAGGGGTTCTCATCCACACGTACAAATTCCTGATGGGGCCAGGGAGGGTAAATATGATGGAGCCAGACTCCTCTCAGTGGTGCTCAGTGAAAGAAACAGAGCCAATCGGGTTGTGCAGTCTCCAGCCTTGGAGATACTCAAAACCCAACAGGACACGGCCCTGGAGACAGCTGCCCTGCTCAAAGCCAGGCTGGGCTGTCTGATCTCCACAGCAGACGACCTTTTCCTTCCTGAGCAGCCATAAAATCCCTGGTCTGTGCTCACCTCCGCAGAGTGCAGGCTACCAGAGAGCTGCCTTCAGGGCTGGGATTTTCCAGAGCCCCCAGAACATGGAGCCAGCAAAACCCAGGACCTCACCACACCGGCATTTAGTAGTTTCTTTACAGAATCACAGAATCACAGAACGTTAGGGATTGGAAGGGACCTCAGAAGCTCATCCAGTCCAATCCCCCTGCCGGAGCAGGAACACCCAGATGAGGTTACAACACACACAA